ATATTTACTCATTTAAATCCCCAAGGTCCAACCTCCATCTACAATATCATCAAATCTTCACAAATAGATATTATTATAATTGAATAATATAACTATAAATTAATAAATAGGATCGCTGCATTACTAGAGATAAAATAAAGTAAACAAACAGGACCAATACATAACTGGAGATAATTAAAATAAGACCAGTGCAAAACTGGAGATAAAATAAAATAAACAAACAGAACCAGTACATAACTGGAGATAATTAAAATAGGACCAGTGCAAGACTGGAGATAAAATAAACAAACAGGACCAGTACATAACTGGAGATAATTAAAATAGGACCAGTGCAAGACTAGAGATAAAATAAAAAACAGGACCAGTACATAACAGAGATAATTAAAATAGGATCAGTGCAAGACTGGAGATAAAATAAAATAAACAAACAAATAACAAAATAAATAGAATGAGGTTAAGGACACCTCACTCCACAACTATAAGCAAAATAAAATAGATTTAATGATAATATTCTCCTCCCCTACCTTAAGAACTACATATATGTACCAAAATTTTGTAGAAGTGACTTATCTTTCTCTCCTTTTCTTCTTCTCCCTTCCTGTTTCTTTCTTTCTTTCTTTCTCTCTCTTTCTCTCCCTCTCTCTCTTTCCTCTCCCTTTCTTCTTTCTTTCCTTCTCTCTCCTCCCTTTCCCTTTCTTCTCCTTCAATTTTTTTTCCTCCTACTTAATCCATCCCCCTCCCATTTATAGCCATTTTTTTATTTTATTTTTATTTTTACTTAATGAAGTCATTAAATGCATTAATGACTTTGGATAAGTCTTAATCATTAAGATAAGTTAACCTTATCTTTCATTTTAAATTTTTTTTTTGAGATATTACAGAGTTTCCTCACTTTTAATATAACTTCTTACACTTTGTATCTCTACACTTAGTGTCATTTTTACACCATTGAAGTGTATAACTATCTTCCTATACTTATCTCATCACACACTGTTAAGTGGTAAAAAGTTGGTATAATTATGCTTTGAATTGTTATGAAATCACTTAACTTATGTTAATTCTAATATATTTTTCTCCCAATATAGGATGAATTCGAGAATACCTTAATACAAGAGTAAGGAGCATGATTGTCAACATAATTTGAGCAAAACTAAAAGGAGGAAGAAGATTTTCAGCATAGAAGTCGCTCGAGCGAGATAGACTCTCGCTTGAGCGAATATAAGTTATTCTTCTTTGGAACTTACTCGCTCAAGCGAGCATTTTGTCACTTGAGAGAAAATAGGGAACTTTCGCTTGAGCGAGTGTTGTCGCTTGAGCGAAAGGTGCGAAGCCCAAAAGCCCAATTTCTCCTATAAAAAGATAAGACGAGTTTTGAGAAAAGGGGAGCGGTTTTGGGGAAAAGAGGCGCAACTACTACTCGGGTTTCGTCTAATTTTCATCAATTCTTCACTTCTTTCACATTTGGAGCATTGTAATGGCCAACATGAGTGACTAACTTCATTCTCTTGGAAATTGGTACACTCCCTTTGAACTCTTTTGTATCATGGTGATTTTTTGAGATATTAATCTCTATTTTGATGTTATTCTTATCCTTTGTGCTTTGTAATGATTTATTCTTGATGTTTGAGATATGATTAGAAAATATATCTTGAACCCTAGATCACGACAAGAATATTTGTTACGTTAATTTCCAGGATTGGAATGAATGTATCAATTGCTTAACACCCTTAACCTAATGCTGAAAAATCTCTTAATTGTGTGAGGAATCAACATTTATTAGGTTTTCTTGTGAATTTCATGTATGAGGAATCAACATGGATGATTTGAGTAAGTAGCATCAACATTGTTAGGTTAATTGATGTTCTTAATTAACATAGTCATTACAAAAGAGGGAAAAGAAAGGAAGTCAATCCTAAGTGTCTTTACTTGATATTTTCTAAACAATTTATAGTTCTTTGTCAGTTAATTGCAATTCAACTCTTTATGCAAAACCTATTTTGTTTAATCCACTTAGTAAGCATATAATTGGAAATTTTCATTAAAACAGTTCCTCGTGGAATCGACTTTTATTTAATCAAAATAACGATTGATAATTTTGTTACGCTTACTAATTCTTCAACACACACCACTATAAATACTCTTACATATTTCATTTGTAATGCAAAACATCTACTTCCATTTTCTTGCTTTATTCTTCTCTCTTTTTTTCTTTGCAAATCTTCTCGTTCATTCTCCTTCCATGCATACATACTTGTAAACAAAGCATGCATTTTTATTATGTTATGTACCTGACTCTCTTTTAAATTTATATGATTTGAATAAAAGAGAACAAGTAAGTTTCACAAATTAAATATATTTTAATAACCACTTAAATAAATATAATTAATGAACATAATTTAATTACAATTATTATACTATTATAATTTACTCATTCTTAATTATTAGATAATTAATTGAGATATTCCTCGAAATATTTAATATTTTGACCAATAGACTTTTATATATATATATATATATATATATATATATATATATATATATATATATATATATATTGAAATAGGAATAAATATTTGAAAATAAAAAAGCATAAAAAATTAATTTTTTTAATAATGAGTTAAAGCGTGTTGATGATTTGTTGCTCTGTTTGTTCAATCGTTAAAATTCTAATCTTTCTCTTACATATATGTGTTGGTGTGTAAATCCATTATAAAAAATATTTGAGTAAGTAACCCATCAAATCCATTTTCTTTAGCACGACGATCTCCACAATTCACCTATTTTACTAATTAAAAAAAAAGATAAATTTAAATGTGTTAATTCATCTGATCCATCGATGATGATCAATTGAATTTTAAAATTTTTTATTAAAAAAAACTAACTCATTTTTAATCTAACTAACCAGTGTGAATTAGGTTCACTAACATGATAAATAGGATTAGTTTTCTAATATTATATTCCCATCAACTCATTTATACATATATTTTTCTGTTATCTCTCTTTTTTTATATATATATATTATTTTGTATAAGAGTATTTTTGCAATAGACAACCCAATAAATCTAAAGACAAATATCACGTAGACCAACCTTTCGTGTTCTCATTTGTTGATATATTTTCCAACTTTTTATAAAAGGGTCATAAGTAATGCACTAATAGTCCTTCATTCAGCAAGTTGAAATTAATTAAAATCGGCTAAAAAGCGTTGGTTACAACCACATTAATGACTATTACGCCTTTTAAAATGCTTAGATTTTTCATCACCTAATAAGCTGGTGCATCACAAGTTTTAATCGTTGATTGATGTAGAGATTAAGGTCAATTATGCATCGATAATGGACGCACTTACGTGACATAATTGAACTTAACATTGTTAAAAGTATGAGATTAATTAATGAGGAAAATTGAAAAGAAGGGTATGAAAAGTTTGTAAGCATCATGGCAAAATTTGACACCTCTAAAAGACGAAGGAGATTTTTCCACCTTCCCATCATTACTTAGTCTTTATGTGCAAAACGCTTTGAGAAAAAAGCTTCATTGTGAAAGTTCCACGAAGCACATTCTATTCGGACCATACAATAGAATCGTACAACGTTGCTGTCTCATCTTATTCCCTCCTCGGTCCCCACAAAAATCACTTCAACAATGGTATGTGAACAAAACAAAACATACCCAAGAGTTTTCGTTACGTAAATTGTGAATCACAATGTGTAAATTACTATACCTAACCACATTTACCATATATAACATTACTTAATTCATCCGTCACCACATTACCATAGAAATGGTAAGTTTTCATAAAAATAAAAGTTTGACTATCAAAAAGATAGTATGACTTTGACTTATACAAAATTTAAATTAGCCTACATTATAAAGAAGAAATTTGTATAATAATTTTACTTAGGTAAGTGATATCATAAATCACTAATTCTTTCATAATAAAATAAAAATTTTCATGTTAGATTAAATATATAAAAATTATGTATAATAATCATAGTAGAAATTTTAAATGTTGTATGTCGATTCATAAATTGACGTGAATTCAAATTTCAAAATAGATTTGATATTGATAAAAATCAATGAAAATAAAATAATTTTTTCATGAGTTGAACATTCATAATAATAAATTAACTTTTTGAGTTGAACTTGTGATGAATGTTGAAAGTTTTTATTTTTGTTGATTAGTGATATAAAAGATAGAGAAATAATTCAAGGTGGAATGAAAAGTAAAAGGATTAGATTAAGAACAAATATAAGAAAACTTTAAGAAAAATTATAATTAGAAGTAAAATCAATACATGAGTTCATATGTAATATTTACGAGTGTATTAATGTAAAGAAGACTTTTTTATTATTTTAGATTTTTTTATGCTAGTTTTATAATCAATATAAAAATTTATTATTTCTATATCGACATAAAAAGTTATTTATTATATGGGTTCAAATCAAATCTGAATCATCTATATTGATTCAAAATTAAATCATCCTAAAAATAAATTTTAATTATAAAATTTTCATCATTCAAATTGATGAATTAGAACTCATCATATTATCATCGATTACTTAAATTCATAAAAAAAATACAAATAATTGAATCATATTTTTATTTCAATCCAAATTTTATAATTTATCTAGTTCATATTCCAATTTTATTAAATTTTTTAAGTGTATTTTAAAAATTAGAAAATCTAAATTCTCGTTCATATTCAAGTTATGTAGAATGAGATTCACTAATAAGAAATACAACCTATAAGACTATAATTGTCTCTCTTGCTTATCGTAATTCACCCCAAATTTAAATGTCATAATCCTATAATTTTAATCATTATAATAAATACTTATTAATATAACAAATGAATCACACTGATGTAATAAGTTGGCATGGAATTTTTTTTTTTCACTAGTAAATACCACATCAAAAGATAAGTATTGTTGTTTTAGATCTAGATATAAAATGAGATATATGAAATGAATAATTGATCAACATTTTGATGAAAAAGAGAGAAACCAAGGAAGTGTGTTAAAGTAGAACTTTGATGAATATAAAAGTAAAAAAGAAGAACTTAAAACGACACACAACAACTCAATTATAAGAATAATCCATATCGCTGGAATAATTTTTGCGAATGACATGTCTAACCTTTCAAACAAATTTGAGTTGAGCTTTGGTGAAAGATATTGATAAAAGTAGAAATTTAAATATTTTAATTTGATGGAAAATTAATTCATGTAATGTCCATATACAATAATATTTTTTAATGAAACTCTTTCAAAGATTATTTACTTCATTTTATAACAACTCATGAATTTGTTTTTGAATTAAAAATTCAAACTATTTTGTTTAAAGGTAGATTTGAATTTAAAGTTCAATCTAATTATTTGAATTTGAATTTATATAAATACAAACTATTTTTCTACAAATAATTCATGTTTAAAATCCGATTCAATATTTGAGTTTTGAGTATTATCCAAAATAAGTTCTTACAGCTTTAAGAATTTGACCTAAATGCCACACGAAAACACACATTCAGGTCTTTTTAAGGTTTTGTTTAAACATATTTTCATAAAAAAATAAGAACAAAAAAAGACTAAACTTTTCTTGTAACTTAAAAAATCAACTAGTATATATCGCTACTTTTTAAGAAAAAAAAACGAAGAAGAGAAGATTTATTTCTACAAAAACAATAAACTGTATAAATAGACTTCTTGTGTCTGTTAAAGAGTATTAATTATTTTTTTCTCATTTATAAATGAAAAATAAAGTAATAAATATAAATAAATAAATGATTAAGAGAGAAATCGAATAGAAAAAAAATATAAAATAAGAAATATAATTTTTTTTCTTTTTAATTAGTTTTTTTTCTTTTTATCTTGTATTTATTTATTTTTACTCTGTTTCTATATGCTTTATAAATTTGTAAGAAAAGAGAAATACTAACATGTGGTCTTACTCTAAGATAATCTTTAATTTTATTTTATTTTTCTTGTTTTGGTCATTAAAAATCATCAATGATTTTTTTTTCGTTATAATGACACAAATGAATAAAGTTCTAATATATATATATATATATATATATATATTTATTATGCTGTTTTATTTAAATTTCTTTATTATTATTATTATTATTATTATTATACTGTTTTATTTTTAAATATTTATTTTTAACTATGCAATTATGAATAAGTAAAAATTATAAAAGAGAAAAATGAGTAAATAAACTAATAAAATAATAATAATTAAGAAGAAATTGAATAGATAAACTAATAAAATAAAAAATAACTAATACTTTTATCTTATCTGTAAGGTTTCTTTTTGCTATTATAGAAAAAATCATCTAAACGGATAATATAAGTTTATAAAAATGAGAATCCTTTCAAGTGATTCCATCAAATTAAAAAAAAAAAAAAAGTGAAAAAAGTGAAAACATCAAAATATCTACATAAAATATTAGAATCACAAATTTAAGTGTGTTGATTAGTGACTAGGTCTTTTCTTTGTCATGTGGCTTTGGTGGATTGGGTGAGTCATGTTAAGTATTGATGAAGTTGTCTTCCAAGCCAGCACACACATCAATTTTAGAAAAGTTCAAAGGATTTGAGATTGAAGAAGGATGATCTAGAACCCTAGCTAGATACAACATGTGTGTGATTCGTATTTGGGTATAATTGGAACCAACCCACCTTCACTAACCTTTAAATTTAAGATTCATTATTATTTTTTAATTGGAAGGTTCCTCCAAGATTATCCTCTTGATCATGATCACTGCCTAAGCTTTTTGCTGGGTCACTGACCTAATCATTCAATTAGGTGAATAATTGGAAAAGATTTAAGATGGGATATATAAAGTTATAGATTGTGCAAACAAAGAATATATTATTTAGTTTTGTAAACATCGCAGCTTCCATTCTGGCTTCATCACATTCACGTTCTGCTACACCCTTTTTAAATTGCGCTCACCACTTACTTCAACACCGATCACCCCAAAATTATAAACGTGTAAAGTTACGCAAATTGCATGCATATTATGCACCAACTACTCATTAACAATCTTCAAATTATAATCTCCGTGGGTTGAACCTTCACAATTGTCGAACATAGAACAAGTAGAGTGTTTGGTCTTCTTTTTATTACTACGTTGTTGTTGTTGTTATGTGTCTATCCCTACGTAGAGACAATGCTTGCTTGAAAACTACTTTCTGGATTATAGTTTTATAGTATAGTTTATATATTTCTGTGTTATCGTCACGTATATTGTTCAACATGTTGTTCTATTCAATGGCTAGTTTCAAAACCCACGGCAGTTACCATGGTTTTTTCAAACTTGAGATTTGAATATTACAAATTCAAAATGGTTAATAGAATATTCCATTGTACGATTCCAATTATACGAACATTTCCATGCATCTTTATCAAATGTGTTCATTATTCATCGTGAAAATCGTATATACAACAAGATTAACGATCCTCGAATGCAATGAATTTGATTCTAGTTAAATTCTGTTTAATATTGTTAATTTTCTAAATAGTATCACTCAAATCATGTATCACCTATTTCAATTCCTTGATTATATATATTAATCACTTTATTTAATATGAGATTTGATTTTAAGTTAAAATCTAAAATAATATTATAATTTTTTTAACTAAATATATTATTACATATATTTTTTTTAATGGACAATATTTTATATCATTTATCTCAATTATCTTTAATTGAAGATATCTAAAGTCTCACATGAACTAATTCAATTCTTCAAACATAATTATATATATCAATTATTTTGTCTAATTCTAATTAATTTTAAATTAAGTAAAAATATTATATACATATATATATATATATATGTAATATTTTTAAAGAAGATTTTCTTATTAAAAAAACAACTTTTAATTATATTTTATCTTACATAAGTCATATCAATTTTAAATAATATTTATTTTATTATATTTTTATTATTATTAGTTTTTTATTATGTTTTATATATTTTTAAAAAAAGTTATTTTATATTTATTATATTATTATATAAAATTAACTATTTTATAAAATTTGGTTTAAATATGATTAAACTTTTAAATTCTAAATTATCTCTGATTTTGGTAGTTAACTAGTTATAATTTTAGCAATAATGAAGAAAAAAAATAATAGTTGAAAAAGAAATTTTGCCAAACAATATTGGTTGTCAAAATACGAAATAGAATTTTGGAGGACTCTGCAAAGGAACACCCATTCTGACTCAGCCGTGACTATGATTCGCACAAACATGTGTCGGCTACTTATGGATCATGGGTATCACATGAGATACATTATCATGCATGACATGAAAATGCATCATCCATCCCATACAACCATAGTTATTAAACTCATTTTAATTGATAGTCATAAAAAAAAATTAGTGTCAGTTAGAGTGTAACGAGTTAAACTGTTTAGGAGGAACATGTGAAGTTGAATTGATGGTGTTCAAGAATCGATAGATATGATGTCACTCAACTGGGCCTTTCACGCGTTTGAAAAATAAAACCGAAAACTTGAAATTTAAAAGTAAAAATAAAAATAATTGCTATATATAATTCTTAAATAAAAACATTCACCACAAAATTTATATTTCGGTTTACTAATCTTAAATCATGGTTAAAAATAATTTATATATTATTTTATTTTTTAATTCACCGAGATAAAATAATAATAGATAGATAATACATGATAATAAATCCTATATTATAATAATGGTGAGAATGTGATATATTTTTTTATAGATAAAACAATTTTAATTTTAAATAATTAGATAATAAATTTGTTAGAAATGAAAATAATTAGTTTAAAAAAACAATTTTAATTTTAAATAATTAGATAATAAATTTGTTGGAAATGAAAATAATTAGTTTAAAAGAGATAAAAGCAAACAAATGAATTGAATGATAAGCTTAAAATTATTTGATGACGGAGTACATTTGATACATTCTAATAATTTATATATGAATTTCAAACTTGAATTTAAAATTCGATATCTTGAACGTTGGTTGATTAATTCTAAGTTGCTTAAAAAAAAACTGGTCTAAAAAATAGAAGAAAAATAAATAAATAAAAGTCTAAAAAATACAATGGAATGTAAAAGAATTTATTAGACGATGAAAAACAAATGTCAAATTTGACTAGTTAAATTGTGTATTACAAACTTGTTTTTGCAAAATTTATTGTAAACTATGGTTATCTAATTTGTATTATATAATAACAAGTTATTTTAGTAAAGATTATTTTTTATGAAAAAATATTAATGTTTGTTTTTATCAAATTAAATTCTTGTTTAAATTCTAACATTTTTTTATATTAAATAGAAAGAAAATAATTTATAAAAAAATTCAACGCTTAAATTAAATAATTATAATAAAGTAAATAAAAGAATCAATTTTTTATATAATTAAGAAATTATAAGATCTGAGTATTTAATTATAATTTATGAGATATTTTATCTTTAATATTTCTGAGAATTTCGATGTTCTATATATATATATATAATCATTTAACGAAGAAGATATAACATTTATGTGGAAGATTCCAACTTCGTATTTTACAACTTGTTGTATGGTGTTAATAACACTGATTATTGCTGCAGAGGTGGTTATGGTGATGGAGCATTGATATTGGGTTCGTGGGAGTTTGAAAAAGGTTTAGGTTTGGGTTGAATCTTGGTTCTACTTTGACTCACAACACAACAAACAATGTGGTTAGCCACCATACAAGAGTGGGTGGGTCCAGCCCACGTCAACAACACATGGCGCTGTGTTGGAGTTTGAATTTGCACGCCACGAGTGTGTGTGTGTGTGTTTTTCCCTTATCTCGAACACGTCTCTTAAATTTCACGACTTGATTTAAGGGATGCCCTTTCACTTTTTTAAGCAATAAACACTTTCAGGGCACCATCATGAAGGTTGGTGGTGCTTAAGCCCATAGTCAAGGCGTAGATTTCTCTTAAAATAAAGCCCAACAAGAACACTGTGTCGGTTCAAAACCCACGTGCACTGCACTCTATATTCTTTGCCAGAAACAGTTCAATCCTCCAGTTTCCATCATTTTCATACACATGCTCAACCTTGTCTACTTTTTTATGCGGTAAAGGTTGGTTGTTTTGTGTTGTTTTTGACTTGGTACATGCTGTTTGGATAAGGATTGGAATGAGTATCTCAGATATTCAATTTTTGTTTTCCCGAGTAAAATTCAATTCTTTGACGACCGTCGCCGGTAAATTGCGTGCCAGTAGGTGGTATTGGAAAAGCGTAAACAAATACTGCTATGTCAGATTTCATCGGAGTTTCTCGTTAAGGCCAGTTTTTATTATCTTAATATTATTATTTCTCATATTAGATTCAAAATATTAAACATTCAATTCAAAAGTATTTTTATAATAATAACTTACACGAACTATTTTTTATTTTTGAAAAATATAAAATAAAGATTTATCCTGTTATATTTAACTAATTCACAGATCATTTTTTATATCTTTCATAATCTTTATTTATCATGTTATATTTAACTAATTTATAGTTGATTTTTATATCTTTCCCAAAAGTTATTTATTGAAATGTTTAAATAAAATATTAATGATTTAAAATAATTAGATAATTTATGATAAATAGTTTAATAATTATTTCATTAAACAACTTATAAAAAAATGAATCAGAATAAATAAATTTTTTAAAATTTATGAAAAAAACTTCTAATAAAATAAAACAATAATAAATTGTTTAAAAATAATAAGGCATCAAATCTCTTTTTTATATTTTTTAAGATAAAAAATAATTCATGTGAGCTACTCTTTTAAAAATAGTCTATATTTTATGAAAAATATTTTTAAAAAATAATTTCCTCTTCATTTACTTTTGACTTATTATAAAAAAATTTAAACAATTTATCTGGTCACATAAAATTTTTTAAATGAAAAATTATTTCAAGCTATTAATATTTTATTTAAATATACCAATACCAATACATTTTTATTCAAGATACTCTAATAAAATTAATAAAATTAAGATTATATTCATTTATTATATATATATATATATATATTAAAAATTATGAAAATAAATATTTTTATTGGTTTAAATATCCAAATCTTAAACTTCGGATATTTTGAAATAGAGATAATATATACTTTTTTATTTTTATTTTTTTAATCTTTACATAAAGTTTTATTTTAACCTATGAAAAATTTGTTTTTTTTTCTCTCTTAAAATGTCTTATGAAAAAGTAGTTCAAACGAAGGTAAAGATTTGTTTGGATAAATTTATCTATACAGATTTTTAGAAGGGAAAAATAATAAAAATATTAAAATGAATTTTTTCATAAGTTAATATTAGTCTGTCCACAAATTAAAAAAAAAACTTATACACATTTTTTTATAAATTAACTTATGCACAAATTAATTCAATTTATAGAGAAAATCAATTATTTTTTTCTTATTTTTAAAAGTTTTTATAAAAAAAGTATATTCTTAGGAACAAATATAAGTTAAAATTAGGATTATGTGCTAATTAAGAACACGAATTTATAAAAAATATTTCTTCAAATTAGATTATATATAAGTTAATTTTAGTTTAAAATAAATTCCATTGTATTCTATTTTTTATTTGTTCTGTTTTAAGAAGTTATGAAAGAAACTTGTCTACATACACCCTTCAAACTATATAACAAGGGATATCAATACTGTTTGTTGTAAAAGTAGGACTTTTAAAAACGGTTTTGCTTGAAACACTACTTCATTTAGCTTACAAAAAATAGAGGCTATATTTATAAAATTAACCCAATTTAACCTTAGCACAACCAAACCTGCAACAAAAAATGAAAATTATTTCTTCCACCCTCGTTAGTTTTCTCTCCACATTTATACCTCAAGTAAAATATTTAAAATATTATTTTCATAATTTTGTTTTTTATCATAACTTTTTTTATTTGTCTACAACTTCTAAATATCATTTTCATAATTTTATTTTTTACCCTAATTTTTTTCTATTTGTCTGCCATTTCTACACCTCCATCCCTTGTCTATTTGATTTTTTTTTGTGTTATCAATTCCATTGAAGACTTTTTCTAATAATTATAAATAAACAATTATTAATATTACATATGAATTACATGTTACTGCACTTAAATTACATAAAGAGACCCAAATGATTCAATCTGAAATTTTAGAATATTATGTATCACGAAAATGAGATTGAATTTCAAAATACTCAATCTAGAATGTATTTTTGGATTGACTTTTTTGGAAACACGTTCTAGAATACTGTTATAGAAGGTGAGATGGACTTATGAAAATCAATTATGGAAAGATGGTTCTGGAATATATTTTCAAAAAATCAATTTCAGAAATGTATTATAGAAAGTATGTTCAGTAATACATTTGTAGAATTAATTTTTCAGAAACTCATTTTCCGTACCGTGATGGATTGATGGATCTGGAATACACTTTCGAAATGAACAATCCAAAAATATATTCCGATACATCAATCCGGAATATATTTCCGAAAAATCAATTCCATGAATGTATTCTGGAAAGTATTTTCTAGAACATGTTTTTCCAAAAAATAAAAATCAATTTTCTCACTTCTTGCAACATGTTTCCAGCCAAAAAAATTTGATGCATGAATATTATACATGTAAAAGTATTTGATATAAAATAATAAAAATTGGACATTCTTACCTATTTCTTATAATTTTTAGAAGAATAAGAGATTAAAGAATGAAAATATTTTAGTAAGACTTAAAAATCAACTATTGAATAAAACTAAAAATAAATAAAATATAAGGGTAAAATAGGATTTTATTAATTGTGGGAGTGCAGAAAGCAACAACCACCAAAGTTTTGCTGGTTGGTAATGGGCTAGGCCTACTTGTAGGCCCAATTGTTTTTTATAACGATTTAAATTATTATTCCAACTTGTTTACTTTACCATGTTGATATTATTAATCTTTTACAACAAAATTCAAATATCTCCTGAAAGAAAAGTCCATATTAATATCACCGTTTCAAGAATAAAATTGATTTCGAAAGAGGATACTAGTGATTATTTATTTATTTATTTGATTAATATTTTTAAAATATCTTAAAAAAATGATGTTCTTATTTTTTATTAACTAAAATTAAAATTAACTAATTTACACGTGACCATATTAGTAAAGTTTTTACTCAAAACTAAACAAACTTAACTTTCAGACTAATACGAAAATATATTATTCACACTCTATTAATTTGAATGAGTGATATATCTCTTGGTCACTCCCTTTTAATATTTACTTATTTTAAATAATTTTGTTTCATCAATCAAATATTATACATTCATTCTTCACATTTTTTTCCAAATAATTAATTCAACCATTTCTATAAGATAAAAATAATACAACAACAATTACTAGGAATCTAGACATTTAAGAAACAAATAAATTCAAGAATATACATGTTTACATTATATTTTTTTTATCTAAATAATTTATTTCATATTAAAATTTTATTCTTTAACATTTTATATATAAATAAACTTTTATGATAGTCTTATTTAAAATTTTAATTATAAAATCTCTTATCTCTCATTTCACATCTTAAATGCATAATTCCTTTAGTTATTGAATGTTGTAGTAGTTTTATCAAAATAACACTACACCTTAGGCAAAGCCTATTATCGTCAATTTCTTTCCAATAAAATATACTCGAGTATAGTTTCTCCCACTTTTAGGATACACTTCTTTTTCCTCTTATTCAAACAAAGTAAGATCTTTGGTGACAGTTTATTCGACATATCTTGGATTAACATCATCAATGACATCAATCATGAAAATAAGTTTGAATGTAACCTCTTGTGCTTGTAAATGATTAATGTCTACTTTGACATATTTCTCCTTAAACTTTAGTCTTATTTTCACTATAGCTTTCTCTATTATATTCTTGAAACAAATACAATAATTAGTGAAATGAGTAAATACATTATGATATTTTTAATATCATTTTTTATAATTGAAACTAATTTATAATCATTACTTAATTATATTTTCTTATTTTTGAATTAAGTAAGAATGCACAATATCAAAACTATAAGTTTATTAGTCAAATAATTTATTATCTCGTAGATACAAATATAGTGTAGCCCATTTTTTAACTCGACTATTTTTTTTTTGTCATACAATATATCTCCGTTATTATCATTCTCATATTTCAATTCTATTTTAGTGTGACTTTATCTTTTTTCGCATTCCTCTCAAATCTGTTAAATCTTTCTTTCTCAAATTTAATCTGCTTAATTCTTCTAAGTTTATCTACCAATTGGATTATATCTCTCAAATACTACAAAGTGTTGAAGTGCAAAATAAAATATAATATATCAATTATATATATATATATATATATATATATATATATATATATATATATATATCAATAAAAAATGTATCTTTTTCCTTGCATAGAATTATAAGATAACAACTTTCATTTTAACCAATTCATTTTTAGGTATTTTGTCTAAAACATCTAGTTTTAAGTGTTGAAATAAATTAAGATAATAATTTATGCTATCAGGATGATATCTTTTATTATGCAATAAATCAATTAGGCTTATCTTAGTTTTTTCTTTAAAAAATTATTCATGAATGTTCCTCTCAAATTGAGCCCAATGAAATTGGAGTTAAATGTAAATAA